ATTATATAACATCGGAAATGAATCGGCGCATAGCGACAATGGTTTTATGAGTACCGAATGGGCTGCACCTGGAACGTATGATATAGACCGTTAGCAAATAGCTTATGGCCACAGTAGAGTACAGGTCGGTAGGTATAAACGGTTGAGTACTTGGACATTTGCACAATAAATGTGAACACTGTTTGGAAAGTCGCATGCTTGACAGTGAGCAGCGGGACTTGGTTGATGTCACTTGTCAATACCAAAGGTTGCGCATCAATCGTTCTTTGAGTAGGTGCACATGCCTCGGGCAGCACATGACAGAACCGGTCGGAGACACAGAGAGCCAGAAGTGGACACTGTATCGCATTCGCATGCTGTGTGATCTCCCAACTCAGCTACTCAAACCAGACTGTACATGTAGAGGGCAACACCTAAGTGCACACTATTTCACTGTACCAATAGTCTAGTCATCATTCTACCTAGCAGTTGCTTTACTATTGCCACATCGGATCCCTTCAAATATGGATGCCCAAGATTTAAGGCAGTCACGTCTAAATGTGGAAGAAAACATCAACCGTTCGTATTGGGTAGTTATTCTTATACCTGCAAAAGTGGTTGTTAGCCTGACCTCCAAACGAAACCCATACACCTCGGTCGTACCATTGATGATGATGTCAAATGTGTCTCTATCCACTTTGTGACAGCTCACACTTAAGTTTGCATAAACGCATGTACATATGTTGTATTCGAACTGTCATTGGACAAAGATGACGCCAATCTATGTTTATATGTATACCGAATGAATTCCACGAGGATCTTCATATCGCTTTTGTACGGTTAACTTAGTGCAGTAGAACGACATTCGAGCAAACCGAAAATAATATTACCAGAACATGAAGAAGGTGAGTTTATGACAAACTCATGTTGATTGCAGGTGTTGCGAATCCAAGGCAAATTTGATCGATACGGATTCCGTGAACTACTCGAAAGGGCGGTTTCTCAGGTGCCGGAGAAGGCACAATTGTACGCGGAATAGAAGCATCATGAGTATGTAGCTATTCAATTAACTAATCCAGGCCAATAAGGCGGCGTATGTGGTACGTTTGCCTGTGTGATGAATAATCTTGCATTTCAGAAGTAGATGTTGCTTGAGCTCCCCTGTGTGGATGCGCCTGATGTGTATGTTGACAAGGTGCCTACCTGTCTATTACCCACTACCTCGTCCATACTGGCTCCAGGAGACAGTTGGTCGTCGCTGGAGGGCACGGAGTGCACCGTCCTCGTGACGGTGCTAGGCTCAAAGAGTGGTTCCATGCAACCTGTGTGGAACGGGCTACGGTCCAGCCACCGCCTTGTGTACGTCTGGTGTGTATGAATTCCCAATTAGGCCGGAATGCTTCCGTTCTGCTTGTTGAAGGAGTGTGGGCCGGCTCCGTTGATGAAACGTGGCTCCCATCCGCATGCCTCCCGGTCTTATTCCTTCGGGTTTACACCGGATATGGGGTGTGTGGATGGAACTATGGGTGGTGCAGCGCAAGCCACCCATGGTCCCTCTGTAGGCGCAGGCGTCCTGTGACTGTCCCCATGGACATCACAGTGACAGGCAAATCCGGATACGGACGCCGCCAAATCATATATACATACATATATACCTATAGGTATATATATATATATATATATATATATATATATATATATTCAACCCTATATCAATTACAATATAATTGGCTGAGTGCCACAACACAGAATAAAAAAGGATAGCGTGAAAGGGAAAACATCTATTAAAGTGATAGAGTCTCAGAGTAAATGCGCCATTGCGTACGGTGCTTTGCGATATCCTCCAGCGTTTGCAACCAGGTGTGCTCGGGGTCTTTTGGTCCCCAACCCGGGAGCCGGGAACGCCAGACAACAACAAGCTTTAACGTTTGCGCCTTGACACATTGGATCCAAGTTTCGTCGCTTCCAAGTCACGCCTGTGCTCGTAAATAGGGCTCATCGTGGTAGCCGCTGGGTAGACATGCGAAGTAAATGGCCAATCTTACCATATACACCGAACGCAAATCACATGCCATCAGCGAGATAATCTGCGAGTTACCTAACCCACACAAGCGTCTGGGTCGCTGGGCAGAGCATTCAGCTAGTCAATTTAATCAGCCAACACAACCCCGATGACACCTCTGACCCCATCATATGATGCCTGGCCTGTCTGCACAGATCATGTTAATGAAGCGATTCAGATATACACTGAAACGTCACAAAACTTCTGGCCTCGATAGTCGTCCTCTGGTTTCATTTGAATATGGAGAGCACGAACCCATCAAGGAAATCCTCTCATTGTTCACAAAGGTATAGATCGATGAAAAGTTTCCAAACTCACAATATGAATTTACCGTGGTTATGGTTTACAAGAAAGGATTCCTTGGCGAATGCAACAACTACTGAGAAATCTCAGGTCTTTATATCCACATGGATGCGTGGGCTTTCAGTTACCCGGTGGAGTATTTCTGGCGGGCCGAGATTGTATAGAGCAGTCTTCACGATTCGCCAAATTGTAGACTATCGTCACGTCCACCGAAGACCAACAATAGTTGTGTTCTTGGACGTTCGTCCCTATGGAACTGCATGCTAAAGAGCGGTGTAGCCGACGAGTTTGGCATAATCCTAAAAGAATCGTAGTCCCACATCGTTCGTTAAAGTTGCTTCATCTCACCGTTCCGGTGCAACTTTCTCATAGATGCTCCCTATCGCGCAGTGAAAAGAGCCCAGAGCTGCGGTGTTCAGCTTCTCCGCAAGGGCAAAGTCGTAGATCCAGATTATGCTGATGTCAATACGCAAGCAGTCCAGACTCCTTTGGACCACTTAGCGATAATGGCATCGAAACATGAGCTGTAGTTCACCCCATCCGAGTGTAAAGCTTTGCTTCAGTACTGGGAACCGCCTGTACCTGCGACTACCACTGCAAGTGACAACCTGGAGCAGGTTAACAGCTTTACTGATCGTGGTAGTTGCATTGCGGTATTGAAGAGGAAATGTCACATCAAACTGTCAAAGCTTGTCTTACATTTTATTAAAACTTGAGACACTTGTGGCGACGTCAGAATGCGCAATGTAACAGCTCGTGCGGTCCTGGCCTGTTCCCGCGGAAGATTTGAGACGGCCGTTAGCGCTCTCTATAATTGATATTTGCAAATGATTGCTCGTGTGTTGTGGCAGCCCCATTAAACAGTGCTAAAGGCAGAAGCAGAGCACTCGACGTGAACAGTCGCTGTTTCCGGGGCATTATTATACAACACCGTTTGCGTTGGTTGGGTCAAGTACTGCGCATGTCAGCCCATCGGTTTCCTCCACGAAAAGTATTATCATTTTATGGACGTGAATAGAAAGAATACCGCGGCGGACAACTGATGACACGGAGAAGAAACATGAAGAATCTTACCTCGTGTCTAGCGACGGTTGGATCTGTACGTCCCCCAGGTTGGGGACCACATGATGTTGGATACTAATAGTTAAAGTTTTTGTGGTTATATCTCGCAATAGAAACCAATGGCACCAATGCTGCATTACCATTTTTCTCTCACGTAATGTGTAGTTTTAAACAAAACTAAAAAAATCAAAACGGACTGGGTGAAGTGTTAAAAAACACCCTTTTAGTACTGTTTTCGTCCCTTTGTTGGGCAAAATATTTCCCTTCCATTACCGCTATGGTTCTAATGGCAAAGTTGTCTGTTTTCAGACTTGTGAAAAAATAATAACAACAATAATAATGGGTCACCAAAAGAAACAAGTCCGATTCCAGAAGCTTTGGTCGATAGAACGTAGCCAATTCATCAGTGGTAATGTCGCATCATGCCCTTGAGTGCTAACGTGGTGTTCAAGTTAGCCCTGACTTCTAGCTGTCAGATATAGAATTTGCTGACGATATCGCTATCTTTGCGGAAGATGCGATATCACTACAGTCACTGCTAAATCGGGTCGACTAATCAGCCTCTACGATCGGCCTCGAAATTAACATCAGCAAGACAAAATACTTCTCATCGTTAGCCACCCAGTCCGCCTCGTCGCTCTCCTTACACGGAAAACTCATCGAATCTGTTCCTGAGTTCAAGTATATTGAATCCACTATACTCACCAATGGTCAGGCTACATTCGGAATCCGGAATCGCATTAACGGCGCTAAAACAGTCTTCTTACAACTGAGAAACACACTGTGGCGAAAGACGGAAATTGGTCTGAGAACGAAGATCTGAGGTATTCTCAGCAACCATTCGTGCCATTTCACTCTATGGTTGCGAAACATGGCCGCTGCGAGCCGAAGACACCCGGAAGCTGGAAGTCTTCGATCATCGGTGTCAAAGACTTATCTTGGAAACGCAGTGGCATGAGCGTATCACCAATGAGGAAATCCGTAAGCGCTGTTACGGTCTTCCGAAGCTCACAACGCTCATCCAACGCCACAAACTTCAGTGGTTCGGTCACGTTCTCCGCAGACCAGACACTGACTCCACTAGGACCGTGGTTTCAACCTCGTCTTGCCAGGGCTGCTGTCGTCGCAGTGGTGGTGGACAATTGGAAACGTGGTTCGCTGCAGCGAAATCAGATGTTGATCTTATGGGACGCCATGTTGTGCATGGTGCTCGTCACTGGAGAAATCACTGGATCAGTATCTGCGTGGAACTTGCCGCCGACCGCCGCGCTTGGGTAGCTGTAATTCGCGACATTCATGAAGCCGGCTCATCCTGTCGCAGGAGCTAGCTGTAGTAAAGTAAAATAAGCAATGTCGCATTTACACTGCTATCTCCAACTCAGTAAGCATGCAACTAAATAAGCTTTCACTCGCGTTTTATTTTGCCTGTGCCGTTTTTGGCAACATGACGTGAAATGTAGCAATGTGATCCACCCCACTTCAGTACTTAATATATGGTTGGTGTGTCAAATTAATCTCAACAAGAGTGCAAATCCATCGTAGGGACACAAACAGAATCGTTAGAATTAGTATGCGGAAAAGCTCTGTAGCTTACCTTTCGGGCGATTTTTCCTTCCTCTGTGATAAATTCCCAGTCTTTGGCGACGCACAGACCATTGACTCTGGGGTCAAAGCGAGGGTCGTTGGGTCGCCTTCGCGATTTCAGCTGAGCAAGGCCCTCCTCATAGACGCTTCTCAAACTAGGCGGTAATCGCACCTTTCTCTTCTTGTTCAGCTCTCGAAACGTTAGTACTCTAGGTTCGTCCTGAGTGGCCTAAAAATGGAGAAAATTGCAGTAGCACATATAGCCTCATACGAATTAGATGACATAGACAGACATGATAAAGGAAATAAACCGAAACGCGATCAGGAAATTTTCGAAAAAATTAGTGGTCTTGCAAGTTGGTCATGAACGGTGAGTAAAGAAAAAAGAAGAGGTGAGGAAAGAGGAACATATATTCGTGATCGAAAGGATCACACACATTCCTCGTAATCCGGAGATCCCAGGTTCGTGCCAGCGTAGAGGACCGGGCAATCCTCGCAGTATCCTTAACGTAGGCGTGACTGGCGGTGGTTGTGTGACAGCGAAGCGTCTGTACTGAGTACCGGCGCCCGTTTTTAGAAAATACAGTGGATTAAAAATCAGCCGATTATTCAACTGGGCCGTGCAACGCACTGCTGTGAATCAAGGTGCCCTAAATGGTGCAAAAAAGTATCAGCAGTACACAGCACCGACGCTTCGCTGCCGCGCAACCACAAGCGGCCGCACATGGGCTGAAGATTCTGCGAGGGCCGCCCGGTTACTACGCAGGCTGGAATCTACGTTCTAGGATGACAAGGTAGCTATTTTTAAGAGATACGGGCCGGAAAAGGAATTCGTTTGATTAGTGCCCCTATTATATAAAAGAGAGAAAACGCAGACAAGTTTGTACACACTAATTTAGTGCAAAGTTAGGTCAAATAATTAGTACCGTAAATGAGAAACCAGAAAAAGCAAAGGAAATAATGTAAGGGTGCCAGGGCCATGCGCCCGAACAACAGCACCCAAGCAAAAATGTGATCCATCAATAAGGTCAAACTGGTACGTCACAATAAGCAGACATCAGCAGTACACCGACACGACGTATCATCATCATCATCATTGAATGTTAGCTGAAGGCAAAAGAAGCCTTCCAATATCGTATTGCGATACAAAAAGATAGGATGCATAAAAAGTGAGATACCAAACACTCATCATCAGCAACATCAGTACATCAACCATTTGAACTGATCCTCCGCTGCCACACAATCACAGCGCTGTACGGAACGAAGAACAATAACAGGAAAAGAAGGGAGATCTAGCGTAAAACCTTAACGCCCCAAACAAGCTCTCCGGGTCAATGCGCCTATATATTCTCAACGACATTCCATGACAAACAGCTGGCTATCGTACAAAGGTGGCATCCGCGTGACAGCTTCTTTGCGGCTTTCACTGCCCCGTATCATAATCAGCCAGTACACTAGACATAACTCAGCACCAAACAAGGTAAACAGGCAATCCGACGTCATACTTTGCCTCATTCGATGGGCAGAGTAGAATGTCCTCAATCAGCGTCATAACCGATGAACAAACGCGTCGGGATAAGCTCATTGTACCTCGGACGGTCTGTCCTAATGCCCTTATTTCCCAGTTCAATCTCGAATATCGCAAACCAAACCTCTGGGCTGTGTTTCATGAAACTTAAAACAGCCAAAGTAAGCACGTTTACGCTGTGAAATGACTTTGATGCCACTTATGAAAGGTGAATCGAAAAGATCAAGGATGAACAAAAACACGATGAAACTACTAAAATTACGAAAGAAAGGAATGAATACACGTATATAATCTAAAAAGTAACGAATTCACCAAGAACTACAAACGACGAAAAACTTTTACATTGGCGCGCACGAATCGGGGTCACCAATTACATCATCATCATCAACAGCAGTACATCAGCCATTTGAACTGATGCTTCACTGTCATACAACCATGAGGACCTATGAAATAAAGAATAAGAGGGAGAGAAGGGGGACTTACCTGAAAACCTTAATGTCCTAAGCAAACATTCAGGGTCAAGGCGCCTACACCTTGTGTAGACAACATACCGTCACAAACGGCTGGCTGTCGTGCAAAGATAAGGCGGCATCAGCGAGATAGCTTCCTTGCGGCTTTCACTGCCACGCGTCATAATCAGCCATTACCTCGCAGATAACTCAGCACCAAACACACTTTAAACAGGCAATATCATTACCAGACGACAGCAGACGCGCCACTGGTGTCGGTTGTGAGCCATGTCCTGTAAAGTCTCGAGCCAAGCACAAGGCGAGTCAAGTGGACTCCAGCCCGGAAGGCGAGACGGACCAACGGCACCCAGTTTGGTCGTCAGTGACTTCATTTCACGCTGCCAAGTCAACTTCTGTCCACCTCGAGCCTTGCACCACCCTACACCTGGTAGACTGAACAAGGCCGTCCTAGGTAAGCGGCGACCAGGCATACGTAGCACGTGCCCAAGCCAACGCAACTTATTCAGTGCTACCTGTTGTTCAAGCGAGTTAGCATGATTATCACCACCTAGTACTCGCCTAAGCATATCATCGTTGCGGACATGCTGGTGCCATCCGACACCAGCGATGCTTCGCAGACAACGATAATCAAAGACTTGAAGGTACCTCAGATATTCTGACCGAAGGGGCCAAGTCTCATTACCATAGAGCAGAACGGCCCTCGCTGTGGCCTTTCAGATGGAGGGAAACTCCCTTCTGGAGCCAAAGATGACGCAGGTTCAAGAAGGCAGCTCTGGCCTTTGCAATGCGTGAGCTCACGTCAGTTTCCATGCACCCATCATTGCTGATGCAGCTGCCAAGATAAGTGAAATGATTAACCACCTCGAGTTCCTCGTTAGCAAGCGTCAAGGAGTCATCAAGTGGCTAGTGGTCCTGCAACAACACTTTGCACTTTGAAGGTGCGAAGTGCATACCACATAATGGGACCACTCTGGACAGGCTATTCAGGGTTGATTGTGCCGTCGCAACTTGGTCGAAAAGTAGGACGATATAGTCCGCATAATCAAGATTAACTAAAGTTTCACCGGACAGCACTTCAATGCCTACATCGTGAGATTCCCCAAGGGAACACTCCGGAACAGAATGCACGATGAAATTAAACAAAAATGTGTGAATCGGACAACCCTGAGGAACGCCACTTGTGGTTGGAAAGCTATCCGATAGGACACCGTAGACCCTGACGCGGCCTGTAGTGTTCGAGTATAGAGCATGAAGGATGTTCACATATTTCGTGGAAACACCTTTCCGCACAAGTATTTCGAACAGAATCGATCGATCGACTGAATCGAACGCAATCTTGAAGTCGAGGAACACAGCTATTGTCGGTCTGCAGTATGCGTGGCGCTGCTCTAGCACCTGCCGCAAAGTGAATATATGGTCTATACAGCCACGTCCTGGGCGGAAACCGGCTTGCTCTTCCCTAATCCGAGATTCCCGTTCCACAGTGAGCCGATGAACCATAATCGTGGACAATAATTTTGTCACAACTGGCGTTAGGCTTATACCCCTGTAGTTAGAGCAGTCTGTGCGACTGCCCTTCTTGTATATTGCCACTATAATCGATTCGCTCCAATTAGCCGGTACACTCTCTTCCTTTCAGATACGTTCGAATAGGGAGGTCAGTGCTTTGCAGAGGACCTCACCTCCATCCTTAAATAGTGCAAGTGGAGGGAATCCGGGCCAGCGGCACAAAAACGATTGAGGGCTGTGATCGCGTTTCGGACCTCGGCCTCCGACGGAGGCTCTAAACTAACCGTCCATGGCTCGTCCTGCATCACCTGAATAGGAAGAGGTCCAGGAGCAGGGGGCCAGCTGAACTGATCTTGAAAGTGTGTCGCCCAACGAGCCATATGGCGCTCCTTATCGTGTATCAGCGCACCCGCGCGATCTCTGATTGTCTCACTGACGCCTGGTTTTCCGGGGCAGCTTAAGCTCGGAGACTCAGAACAATGCTCACACCGGCTCGATCAGTATTTGAAGCTGAATTGTCTTCGGACAAACGCAATGGGAACGTGCCGCCAGTGTCGCTTGTGGGGCATCGCAGGGCAATCACGGAACACGCATTTTGCAAGCGGGTTTCCGATAAACAGCAAATGTCGATGGATAGGGTCTCTATTGTTTAGGAAAGTGCTGCCTGTCGGCCATTCTGCAACAAAATGCGCATGTTGAGTCAAGTCAGTCTTAGCGAGGATCGGGGGCTCCAAAAGGAAACGGATGAATTGACACTATTCGCCTGGTTGAACATGGACTTGTCGACTGAACTGCAGTGACGACCTGCGATTTCATATACGTCGATACTTGAAGACAGGCCACCAATGAAGCAAGATGAGGGAAGCCCAAGGCATTGGGGGGTTGACAACAGGGGAGACAAGCGTGGGGTGAAAGACGATAAAGATGAGAAAGCGCAAGGTGGGGGATAATAAGACGGGAAGGCCTGAACAGTAGCATCCTTACCCCTATCCACGCTGCTCGATGCAGCAGATAAGGCCCTGTTTATTATCCTTTGTGATGGTCAGAGCATCAAGAAATCGTGTAAAGAGAAGTTCATTGAGTTGTATCGCGTGAGCACGATACTGTCAGATTGTCCAGGCCTAGACAGGAGAATGATCAGGGTTCTCAACCATAGACTGGTTTAAAAAAGCCTTAGCACGAAGAAGCGGTGTTGTGGTACTGGGCTAGAGTTCGTTTTATAGAGTAAAGAGCAACCCTCACTCAAACCCCCAACCTGGAGGGCCAGTCTCCTGGCCGCAGAAGAGTGACATGGCACCCAACAGCACTGGACACAAATAAGTCACATAGCGATCATTTGACGGTCCTTTATGAGACCACGCTGTCCCGTTTCCCTGGCGGTGTCCAACGTTCGCACTCTATGATACATAGGTCAATAGGCTACACTCGTGCGCACCTTGGACACCCTGGGTATTGAAGTGCGTTGTGTCCGAAACTAGGACCAATGACCTTAATGGAGTTGCTGAATTAACTGCGGCTTGTTTCTTCTCTCGCTTATGATTGCACGCATCCGGAGGCGCTGATGCGGCAGCCACTGATTTGGCCAGAGTGGGCGTTGTTCTCAGCTTCAAGGCTGAGTCATCATTGGTTGGTTGCATTCCTTTGAACAGCCGTTTGTGTGCAGTCCGTCTGACGACATCAGTTAAGGTTGATTCACAAACGCTGTTGTTTGTGGCTTCCGCT